AACGCCCATAATCGGGCGCGGAAATGGTGGGGAAACTCAGTCGCGCCCCAGTGCAAATCGATTGGACCACGGTATTTTCTCGATTCGCGCACGTAGCAAGCAAAGCGAATATGGTGACTCCGATAGGGCACCGTTTTTGCTTTTACTCCATATAAGATTTCTAGTACCATCACAATTATTGACTGTAGTCAATAACTTAAGAAGTTTTCAACAAGTTTACAGCTTGCCAAACTTGGGCGAACCATGACACTTTGCATTTTGGGTTCGCGCAGGTGTTAACGTTGAGAAGTTCTTGTGGAGCTAGCTACTTCTCTACATAATTTTTACGGGTAAAAGCACAGTCTGATGGCAAAAGGCATGAGGCGCTGAGAAAAGCCAGCGCTTGTACGTGAGTCAAAAAACCACTGCATGAACTGAGCCTGCTCAGATAATCGCCGGGGGCAGGCGGTCCGCAAACTCGCGCTTTTCTGCAGGCGGTCAGCAGGATTTCGGGGCGTGGCCAAATCTTCAGCGGGCGGTATGTGCGTTTCCTGCAAGCGGGCATCAATACAAAATTTTCTGCAAGCGCTCGTCAAACAATCTCTTTCAGCGAGCGCTGGCCAAGCTTTCAGCAGGCGCTCAGACTCTTTTTATGCAGTTTCGGGCGTACGCCGAGAAAAGATGAGACTCTAGGTGGCAGAGGTGCCGTCGATGGTTTTATTACCCAAGTTTGGGGTACTTTCTTTCAGCGGAAAGTACCTGAGGGCTGTGCGGTCCTTCAAAAAGGACCGTGCGGCTCTCAGTAATTTTGCATGTTCTCGCGGAAAGTCCGCGAGAATGCGGCCACTGTGCCGCAACTTATGTATAGAAAAACCGCGATAGATCTTCGAGCGTTCGTCTAAAAATTGGCCAACTTTCTTCCAAATTTCTGCAAGCGGGCCGCAAAAAATCAACGAACTATTTTTCCGGTGCGCGCTTGCTCAAAATTCGCATGGCCGCCTGCCCCTGGCGGTTATCTGAGTGGTTTGTGGTTTTGAACATCCAATCCTTGTTCAGCATCAGTACCACAGTTGATTCGAGAAATCAAAGGAACAGACCTTGCGATGCTATAAAATAAGGTTCTGGTGGATGTTTATCTTGCAAAATATCTATATGTTGTGACTCTATAAATGTCCGCCGTGTTTAGAAAAGTTTGAAGAGTATGCTCACTCATCGAGTACAGAACGACATCCTTGAATACTGTGAGCACCTAGTACAGAATCAAACACAGCATCTACGAATTCGATCCGGTTCCTATGTGCTATCTCCAAACATCTTTTCAAGAATTATTGTTGGCACTTTTCCCACTTTTCTGGTAGCTAGTCAGTCATTTCAAGATAAGATAGCTAACTGAGTAAGGATCATCAGAACTTTTCTACAGTGGAGATTTGTAAATCATCAAATTTGCTGTGTAAGTGCCAGCACATTATTGCTCAAGACACTATAGATAGAACCCCCAGATCAAGAAAGTTCGTCTCCTGCGTTGCAAATTGGACCCGGTTACCGTCTACGATAGTCATGACGTTTGCGGTTAAAGTTTGTCTACTGCAGATACTAAGTTCATCCCCTAGTGACAACTGCGTGCCTTAGCAGCATGAGCACGCCGGTGCTGCAGGTCAGTGATACTTGCAGTACTGGCATGCTCAATTTCGCTGGTTTATGCTAAGATCGCCAAATCGATCGATCAACAATTTACTCCGAATATCAAAGAAGTGGAAAAGTATGTTCAGTCCTAAGTTATGAAATTTTGAAGTGGCAACGGCCATTGACCGAGCTAAAATGGTACGTCAGATGCATGGTAAACATAAACAAAATTATCTAAAAACGTGATGTAAGCCTCGCAACAGCGACGATTCTACGACGCTATACAACCGTCTTTTTTGAGGAGGAGGTGATCCAAACCCGACCTTATCAAGCTGAAGAAGCCATATGAGGCTGCGACGAACGCAGCAATTCTGCTTCTATGATCTCTGAAGAGTGAACAAGACTGTTGAAGCGCATAACAGTCATCAGTACAGTCGAAGCTATTGATTATACAAAACTAGCTGGCTTACCCGGCTTCGCCTATGTTCCGAATAGAAAATTCCATTTCTTGACCGATCCGGACCAAACTTGGCACACATACACTTCGGGCCCCGGCGGTGTCACAGTCCACTTTTCCTTATTGATCGATTTCGATTTTATCGATTTTTTGCAAAATTTGAGCTAGGGGGCTGGAATTTGGCAGAGTAATCGAGCATGCTGATCACCCCCACGGGGGTGATCAGCATGCTCGATTACCCCCCCCCCCTGTGCCAACTCTTAGCCCCGTAGCTCAAATTTTGCAAAAAATCGATAAAATCGACATCGATCGATAACGAAAAGTAGCCTATGACACCCGCCGGGGCCCGAAGTGTATGTGTGCTAAGTTTGGTCCCGATCGGTTCAAAAAAATGGAATTTTCTATTTGGAACACACGTACACACATATAGACAGACAGACATACAGACATACAGACAGACAAACAGACATTCAACTTTATATATAAGATTATCAGAACACTGAAGTCGCGCTACAATGTGCACATTCCGAAGCGATTAGTTATATAGTCATCAACTTCGTGCTGTATCGTAGCCGCACAACAATGCAGATAAGAGGACAGTTACTACTATATCGTGTTTTGAAGGTTTTCTAGAACATTTGTTGCGATATTGAACTATGAAAAATTTGCGGGTTTGTTGAAAAGGTAAATGCGTTGGTGGATAAAGAAATCTGCACGAGGGCAAGTGCATAAAACTTCTAGGAAAATGGAACAAGATGGATAAATAGAGGCAACTCTATATCAATGAAAAATAGTGGAATGTCACCAGTCCACCTTTAGAGATGAACAGCAGTCAAAAGACCTAGTTGAATGTTGTCTCAGGCTCACCTAGGAGTGATGTTGTGACATTCACCTTAACTTCTCAAACTATTGTTTGAGTGGCTCCCAAATTCGTGTGAGGGCAGGTTGCGGGCTTCCACAGATTATAAGGACTAGCAACCCTACGGGTCGCTAGCAAGTGGGTCGGGGCAGATACAATATAAGGGCTTAGTTGCGACTATAAATATTTATATAAGTTTCCTACTCTTTTCCTGAGAATTTTTGCGAAAAGCTTCTACAAAAAAGGGACTGCTCGAAGAACCGATAATTTCCACAAATTATTCAGCATTTCGCGAAATTCCACCCATAACCATGCATGGAAAATACTATTTTTCTCTCGTTTACCACGCTCTTTCTGCAAATTTCCCCGTCTCACAGAGACATTCAGAAAAAACCCACCACTTTTCTACCCTCTCAAAGAGAATCTGCTTTTCCAATTCTTCTCAACAAGTTCCATAAAAGGCCGTTAAAAGTAGCAAAATACCTATCGTTTTGGAGATAGAAATACACCCATAACAATTATGTGTAAAGGCTACTGCATGACGAAGACGAAATAGCAGTATTAGGTGAGCGGGCGCGAACGCGGGGCGCGCGTATCCTCATCGTTGTAAATTCTGCGCCTCCTGCGCTCTGCGGCTAATAAAGCCGCGGTCGCGCGTAAAGATATTGCGCCTTCGTCATGCAGCAGCCTATACTTCGAAAAATATTTCCTCTCAGAATCAATTCCGACAGCAACGAAATCAACCATCTAAAAACTATGTCAGAGAATCCTTCAATTTTTTCGCCAAAAGAATATGAAGCTTTATTACAGAGGAGACCCCCCTACTGAGCCACCTAAAGACCGTCAATCATAAGAACTGCACAAACGTACAAAAAATTTGTTTCCCTGTCCGATCAAATTGCCCTACGTGCCGCTTACAAACCGATATTATCTATCTGAAAGACAGTTCATGCCCTACGTGCCGCTTGAAATCTGAAAATTATAAGAACTGCCCCAAACGTACAAAAATCTGTTTCCCTGCCCGATGGAATTGCCCTACGTGCCGCTTACTTACCGATTAGTTGAAAGCGCCAGCGGGACTCAGTTACACGAGCAAAAGCGAGGCTGTTGTTAGAAAACGCTTCCAAAAGTACCAGCGAGAACAAGTTACTCACACACTCTCTCGTCTACACGCGGAAGTAAGATAATCCTAAAGTGTCTTTATTTAATTACCTAGAACATTTTTATCAAGAGTTGAGAACATAGATGAATTTAGCTCAAGTCACGCTTTTACGCAATTTGGCATCATTTCAAAAGCGACTAATAAGGGTACAACATATTTGAAAGATATATTCTGGGATAACAAGCTCTAAAAAAGCAGGTACAAATAACACACCCGGACACTGGCGACCCAGTCTCAAAATCATTGCGACATTCATTATTGCTTTTCGAAATACGTGTGACCCTTTTACGAAAATATGCTTGGTCAATCGTTATGAAATTTGGCAGCGTTTCAAAACGCATGCCATTTGGCAGCAATTCAAAGTTAAAGATCAATATATTTCGTCATAATTTCTCCGTCTGCTGCCTCCTCGTTTGCCGTGTTCCACGGATCAGGGGTAACCAGGTGGTAACAACGAATCCAGAATATATTACGTAGTGAATAGTGATGAACCTGTTAAAACTCTACGTGATAGCATTGCTTTCGGATCCGTACTCTCGCTACCAAGAACCGCCAAGCTTTGTGCTAAGACTCCACCTCAACACGAATCTGGAAGCCGATGATAGTTTCTTCAGTAAGTGCAGCATTTAGTTTGCCGCTGTGTGCAATACAAAGAAAACTTTTCAGCGACAGTATGATATCTCCCAGGAGTCATAGATTACATCCATGCAATTTATTAACTCATTTTTCTACTTCTAGATAAGCTAGGAGGGATGAACATATTGTGACCTTACCCAAATTGCAACTATGCTGCGAAGCAGCTACGACAGCTAGAAGCAGCGGAGACGGAAGAGATATAGCGTGCACAGGCGAATCGCTACGGAGACAGTAGCGATCCGCGTGTACCCGCTATATTTCTTCCGTCAGGTATATACGAAGCCATGCCAGATTGCGGTGCGAGACGCTGCAAAGCGTATGCGTCATCCTAAATCGAATTCACTCCGCGTTAACAGGCTGCGATCATTGCAGCCATTTTTGACCAGATCTGCATGCAAACTATATAATTTTTTACTACGATCATGCTATTTTCACACTTCTCATTTGCAGAGGACGTCGACAGGAATTCAGCACTTGCAATCTTACCGCTTGCCCTATCGATAAACATTGCGTGGAGTTACTCGCTCAAAACAAACTCTGCGATGGGCGAGCTTGTATAAAGTTAGTATAGCATTTATGATTTCAAAAAAGAAACATCATTTACTTGCAGACCTGAAGCCGCTCTGGCCGGATGCAGAGAGCCGCAATGTTGTCCTCCATTCATCAATGTCAATGGAACGTGCCAAAGCGATGAAGAACACTTTAACGACTTTGTCAGCAAAAAATGAGGAATGGAAATAACCACAATCGTGAATTCTGATGTCTGAATCATCTCACTTATATCTCTTGATACAGTGATCCATATAATTCAATAACTTTGAGTATCAATGCATGAAGATAAAATAAACGGGTAAACAATTCTATATACAAGCCAGATAGTTCATAATGACTATAATTTTAACTTCAAATGAAGGTAACTTGAGAACTTGTCTCATTCGGAATTATGCATGACATCAGATACTGAAGTGAAAGGATAACTTCGTAATTATGTAAGACTTGAAATATTATGCACATCAAATCTGATGATGGAATAGACATCTGCTATTCGATGACTACGTGCAAGGCGGTAGCGGAATCACTCACAAAGTAAACGACAATATGAACAAAGAACGGAAACACTTGTACCTGATTACTCATCAGTTGGATGTTACAGAAGTGACGATCATATCAAGGCGCGAAAGTATAACGAGACAATCAAATAACAAAAACGAGTCAATGGAGAATAAAACAAGTGAAACGGCTGCCGTCAGCAACTCAGCCGCGAACAAGAAACTTACCGCACGAACAAATCATTATCGGTTGAATGTGGGCAGTCGATCAAAAGAATACCCCGGACGTCCACAGAGGGTGCATACAATATAGTACACATGATAGAAGCCAGGTACGAAGCAGAGAAACCCGGCAAAGATGAATACCCATTCTTGTGGTCCTGAAACAAGCTTTTGTTGTATGAGCATTGACGGCATTGACCAAAAAATAGCAGGATGTAAAGTAGTTTGTTCTGGCTGAGCTTGAATTCCTCGCTCTATGCAGCTCGATTCCAGTCGAGTCTGAATGCGACGAACAACAGAATATTTCAGAACGTCTTCGCATATTGCCTAGTACTTGATAAGTGTTCCACTAGGGCCTGGCACGCGTTGGTTTGGAGCGTTTTCGAAAACGAAGTCCCCCATGACTTCGCGAAAATTTACGAAGTCCCGCTTGACGTAAAAATCAGTGGGGAAATCCTTTTTCAATCAAAGAAAAAAATATAAAAAACCGAAAAAAGCACATTTTGAGGTACCCAATATGATAAAAAAGCAAAAAAAAATTCCGAGTTGATTAAAGGTTCTGTCACTGGATATGGTACCATTTCAGGGCTCAGAACGTGAAAAACCTAGGTCAACCATATTCGTGGCCTCAACAATCTGGCGATGCATTTTTCGCCACATATTTCGAAGGACACTGTATGTGATTGGAGCGCAATATCTATCAACGCAGAGATTCACACTACTTTTGGCTAAAAAAAAGGGAGAGGCAATGGTTTGATTTGCTCTTTTCACTATATGATAGATTTTTGACCGTTCTAATCGTCCAAATCAAAAAGAGCCAAAACTTATGTGAACTCTTCGATATATATGCTCCGAACCAACCCAGTTGGTTTGGTGTTGGTCTAGAAACCAACAAATTCGGGACACATATCAGTATCAGGACACATAAGTTTTCGGAACTTTTTACGTAACATAGTTTGGAGTACCATTGCATACACATAGCCAAAATTCGGAGTCATACGATTGTATGCGCTCTAAACAAGCCATTTGTTTGTTTGAATCTTGCGCTTGAAATTTGCGCGCTGACGAAAGAACACGTTCAACTCGTGAAACCTAACATGTTCGTCGTTTTTTTCGGCGCCCTCCAGAACCTTATAAAAAAAGATATCCCCCCTTGCTTCTAACTCCAGTTTGACCTCACACCATCTGTGTCGGGCTCTGTGTTCCACTGCTTCTCAAAGCTTTCGTAAGAGCTGGATGAGGGCTTTAAATTTCGATACTAGACATTTTTTGAAGGACTGGGTCCGAAAAACAAGTAGTAGTAAAACCAGTAGTAATCTTTCCAGCGCTCTTCAAAAAAAGTACTCTTATGTGAGAAGTATTCGCACTCCGGCTCTCATTCAAGCGCTGGAAAAATTTTAGCAACCGTTTTTATCCCAGAAAAGCACTCATTTTTTGCTCCTTTAAACGCTCATAACTACTCGTCCAGGAACACGCCGCAGATAAGGAAGACAGATTTGGAACCAGCGTTTTATGTCCTCCACTATGATGGACAACCCATCTTGAAGGCAGTGTCCGGGTAACACGGGAGTTTTTAAAAATAGTGCCATGCGAGAGTGGCCCCCCTCAAACACAACATCGCGCAAGTGCGCCGTCATGACGCTCGACCTAAAGCAAGAAAATACGACCAGAAAGTGGGGAAACTTACGCCCTGGGGGTGGGGTCCTCCGAGCTGTCCGAATTCCTGCTATGCGGCAGAGTACGCATGCCGCCACAGTTAAAAGACGAATTCGAAACGCACAAGCGTACCCTAATCGGCGACGCGGCAGCAACCGCAGTTTTCTCCGCCGAGCGCGACAGCGAGCACGAACTTTGGTTTTTAACGCTTTTTGAAGTTTCAGATGTCGATCTTAGTACGCTTGTGTTTTCCGAATTCGTTTTCGACAAGGGTTTCCGAACTCGATCAGCATCAAGTATTATTGTCACAGAGTGGAATCACACTTTGTAATGTTGATGTCTGGAATTTTCGGGTACAGCCATGCACACATAGTATATGGTTCTGGATATCGTCCGCGAATCTCCAAGAGGCTTTCTCCACAGTCTGATTTCACCGAAATATCACGCAGTGGAGAAGCATCGTTACATCTGAGGGTCAAATTCCCACTGACGGATTTGGTCACGACAAAATGTCACCTTTACTATTTAGAAAGGCCGCACAGACTGAAAAAAAGGCACTGAATTGCGAAATGCTTGCTCATCCGCCGGTCAGCAAATTTGTTTGGGGTCCTAATAAAGAATGAGAATTAGTCAAAGTTGCACATGGTGAAAAGTTGAGCCTTGGTGACTTCGGGGAGCAACCAAATCGAGAACATAATTGCTGAAAAGTGAAAGGCGAATTATTTATGGTGATTTGTTTTATTGCAAATCCACCCCTACCGCGTCTCGCAATGTCCTCTGGCATCAAACAATTTGTAATCGTCACAGTGAGCAGCCCATGTAAGCAAAAACTGGAAAAGAATCTGAAAACTATCTTCCACGTTACCTGCTGTACCCTAAGCTAAAGCAGTTATGTATATACAAAGGTGTGCCATGTCGAAGTAGCTGAATGGTAACCTTCAGAACTAGTCCACTCTGAACAGAGACCTGATGCGAAAATTTCGGTGAACTTCGGCGGAGGCCGTTTAAGCACGGCCGCCGCGATTCTTTTTTCACGAATAATGAGCGGCAATTCAGGAGCTTCACACCCCAGTAGCTGATCTGACTTTGTCATAAAGATCCTCATATGGTTTCAAGCCTCAAAGTACACATTGCATATAGTAGTAGTGTAGGACCACAACTAGTTTCTAACGAATTCCAGCTTTTGGTGAAAACTACACCCAAAGACCAATTCTTTCTGCTTTCTACACTTACAAACAGGTGGCCAGAATTGGCAACAAGTTTGCAAAGAAGCCGTAACTTTTCGCTTCTTACAGGGAGAGGATACTTAGTCGAAAGCACCAATCCAAATGGGGCATAAATCATCTTAAAGTGCTTGAAACGCTGATTCCAAATCTATATTTTCTAGCAGCGGAGCGGTTTTGTATAAGAAGTTATGAGGGGTGTTTTCCTCTAGGGTTCAGGCACCCACCAGCAAGTCTCCCCCTATCTATGAGCACTGTAGAGGAGTACCAACTGTGGCAATTAACCTAGTGGTAAGTGACTTGTTTGATAAGGAGAGTGTCAAGGTTTTAATTCCCTCCGCATGCAACTTTATCGCAATTTTGGCAAAGTTAAGCTTTTTAATGGTTTTAGACTCCTAAAGCCTGAAATTTCTGATGATATTGATGCGAATCGAAGTTATAAATGTTAAAAAACCAAAATACCGAGTATTATAATCCTTACTGTGATTTTCATTCAAAGTACTTATCACTAGGCTAGTTGCCACCAGTTGATACTCCTCTACAGTGCTCATAGATAGGGGGAGACCTGCTGGGGGTCACCTCAACCCTAGAGAGAAACACTTCTCATAACTCCTTATACAAAAGCGCTCCGCTGCTAGAAATTACAGATTTGGAATCAGCGTTTTAAGCGCTTCAAGAAGATATGTCTCATCTAAGTTGGTGCTTTCGACCAAGTATCCTCTCCTTGTTAGTAATATTAACAACTGAGTTTATAAATTAAGGCTGGAAAGAATACTTCATCGGTAAACAATCAGCACGTATAACTCCGCTAAGCGGTCTTACTTTGCTTTCCACCATTGTCATACATCTACTTGACTTTACTGATATTCCACTTTGTGGTGGAACATCACCGGTACGCTAAACGCAAATAGTGCATGCAAGGAAGTCACAAAAAACCAAGGGTTCCAGTTCTGCCCTTCCTACATGCTCCAATAATCGTACGCTTGAAAATCGGGATGAATTCGAAACGCACAAGCGCACAAGATCGCCGTCTGAAACTTCAAAAAGCGAAAAAACAAACACACAAGCGCACAAGATCGACGTCTGAAACTTCAAAAAGCGAAAAAACTAAGTTCGTGCTTACTGTCGCGCTCGGCGGAGAAAACTGCGCGTCGCTGCCGCGTCGCCGATCAGGGTACGCTTGTGCGTTTCGAATTCGTCCAGTTAAAATGTAGGGTCGCAGCGACTCTGCGTCTCTGCGGCGCCATTTAATCTACTTAATCGGCTGCGCGGGCGGTCGCGCGCGCGCTCACTGCGTGCCGGCTAGGGCTCGCACACTCATGGCTTGCCTGGGTGTGCTGGCGCTAACCTCAGGTAATGCCTGTGTTGGACTTTGTTTTCTGTAAGGAGGAAGTTTAAGGATCCTTTCATAACAAGATCGACGTATTAAATTCTCTCTATGAGAGAGACAGATCGGAGAGTCTTTATCCGAGGATTCCAACCTCATAGGTGTGCCAGAGACAAGAGGTCATAGTCAAAATTCACACATCCGATGTTGCCAATGCTTCTAGTCAAAGACGGCGTGCATCTCCATTTTCACAAAAGTTAAGGCTTTTTTTTTTCGAAGAAGAAAGAGTAACTTTGTGCTTTCTCTAAGGCAGCATTGTTTTGTATGCATACCTATCTTTTGTGTATATACTTATCTTGTAGCTGTTGCGATCCTTCTCCTCTAACGTTACCCTTGTCCTTCAACCTCCAACTTATTGGAAAATTTTGGGTGGGGGAACGAAAGCCGCCAGGTCCAGCCGCCTCCGCGGACTGCTGGCCCTGGAACGACATGCAACAACGCTGCGAAAGGACCAGCTGGCCGCGAAAGGCGGCTGGACCTGGCGGCTTTCGTTCCCCCACCCGAAAATTTTGATTAGGAAGGTGAAACTGCCAAGATACCGAGCTTCTAGTATCCGGGCCTGTACCTTCATTTTCTTTGTTTCAACGAGAGTACACTTATTTTAAAGGCAGTGGACAGGCAAAATGGACCCCTGTCAGATTTTGGAAGTTTCGGGCAGTGGACCCTCCAAGTACACCGTAGCCCCAACCCCACATTCCAATTCATGCGCTAAGTCCTGAAAAAAGCGCTTCAAACTTCCACCAATAACGCCCACTCAATGGAAGTGGGCGGGGCTGGTGGAATTTGAAGCGCTTTTTTTCAGGACTTAGCGCATGAATTGGAATGTGGGGTTGGGGCTACGGTGTACTTGGAGGGTCCACTACCCGAAACTACCAAAATCTGACAGGGGTCCATTTTGCCTGTCCGCTGCCTTTAAGGAAGAAAAAGCGTCTTGGACTGACCAGAAGATTCGACAACGACAGACATAGAGTTGCATTTGTTCCGGATAATGAATCCACTATCATTCATTCTCTGACTAAGAGACACGAGCACGCTTTGCGTATTAACAAGTTCATCAATGCGTTTCAAAACGTTTTATGATTACTGGGCATGGCATTCTTAAAACAACATGTTCGAGCTCGTTAAACAATGCGAGTTTAAACATGTTCTTTTATGAATATGCAATAGTGATTTACTAGAATGCGGTGAGACGCGCTCTTAAACTTGTTCTTAGTTAGAGAATGAATGATAATTGTAAGATGATATACTATACAACACATGTATCTAGTTAGCATCGGCTCACGCGTGCAAAACTTTCTTTCGTCTTTCAGTATACAAGGATGATAAGTATCCTCACGGAGGTCCAAGAGTAAAACCAATCACGGCCAAGTACTTGGGAAAAGGATCTATATCGAGTTGCCAACACCTTAACTTCCAGCTTTCATCATGCAGGAAAACAAATTCCTCTCAAAACTAAGCAAAATAATACCATGAAACCTTCTCCTTAGCATAAAAGTTCTGTCGTACACTGAGTCATTGCGCAGCACATGTAAGATGCAAGACTGCAAGGGAAGTCCCAATAACGAAATCGGGGGCCATCTGCCATGAAACAACAGTAGACTTTGCGAAAACAGTCATGTACCGCGTTGCTTACCCCACTAGCAAGGATAGAGGTTTGAAAGAAGAAAAAGTATCTTATCTTGATTACTCATTGTCTAGCTACCTTTTGCATTCTTCTTATTCGCTTCTAGTTGAAAAAGCAAGTCTCAACGGTAAAGTTGCGACGTATGAAAGCCTTGTAGCTGAAATCATTATAACAAGAACGCTTTGAACATAAGCGTTGACAGAGCCGGGGATAGGTCTCCCCCACGCAGCGACGGCGCGCGCAACCGCCCGCGCAGCCGATTAAGTAGATTTAAATGGGGCCCGTCTCTGCCCTGAAGGGGACCGTCGAGTTTCAAATCGTGCGGTTTTGGAAGACGTATGTTCTCGCCGTTTTCGCGCCTTCTAATGTGGATTTTCGAATTCAGCATTGCGGATAACCCCCGGTAAGTAGATTTGAAATCGGGTTTTTGCCCTTTCACTGCCTTCAAAAGGCCACTTCGACCAACCATCCTTCCCTTGTTAACACGTTCCGGGCCGCGAAATCACGCGCGGCAAAAAGAATGCACTTTCGGCCGTTAGCCAGCAAAGGAACCTCATTTCGCAGACTGTGGACTACATCTGTAATCAGCATGCCAGATAAGCTCCATACCCAAAGTTCTGGGTGAATTCGAAGCGTTTGAATTTTGCCGCTTGAGAGGGACTTTTGTGCTTTCTTGAAAGATACGAGCAAGAACTCAGTTTCAAATATTCAAAAGTATCTGTTGTACACGAAACACATCATTATTAAACATACGGTTATTCTCTCTGAAATCGAAGCGAAGAAAAGTTGCGACGTCGCACGCGTCGTTCGCGTCGCCGCACTTCTTTGCAACTGTTGTTCGAGTCCTTATATTTCGTAAACAAATATCGGCGGCACAGCTCTACAGAGTGATTTAACACGTTTCGGACCGCGAAATCGCGCGCGGCGAATAAGAGTGTACTTTATACTTGGGGAAATTCGAAATTTTTTTCGAATATTCGAATATCGAATATATTCGAAAATTGAAAATCTCGAATATTCGAATATCGAATAATATTCGAAAATCGAAATTCTCGAATATTCGACTATCGAATATTATTCGAAATTTGAAAATTTCGAATATTCGACTTTCGAATATTATTCGAAAATCGGAAATTTCGAATCGAATAATATTCGAATATCGAATATCATTCGTTATTCGAATTTCGAATATTATTCGGTCCTCGAATGTTATTCGGTTTTCGAATATCATTCGATTTTCGAATACTGACCGAATAATTTACGTCATTGAGACTGCCTATAAAAGGCCAAAACACTAAGAATAAATTGTTTCATGTAAGTGCTAAGCATTGGACACATTATGGTACAATTTACGATGGAAAAACGGTTTAGTCGTAACGTGAAGAGACTTAGGAACCTAAAAGCTACTCCTGATGACGGTTGTGAAGAGATTTTTCGTACTTTAAAGAAGATTATACATACACCCTCACTGAGAGTTGCGATTGGATATACAGCGGTCCCAACAGTATGTAGATCTGTAGACTGTGTAGGCTGACATCAACTTAGAGTATGGGGCGATTTATCAATCGCTTTTCACTGCTGTAAAATTACCGTAAGGCTGAAGCAGGTTTCAAAACATCAGGACCATTTCACCAAGAAAAAGAATCAAAAGTGCTGAAAGTCTTGCTTAAGATTCCTAAAGACACTCACTTTATGTAAAGTTTGCACTCATCCGTTATGTTTTTTTCAGAACTTACGCCAGGTATCCTGTGTCCCCCAGAAAAGTTCCCAAGTGCGCCAGCGTGCGTACGTGGTGCGACGCTGCCTTTCGCTCTTTCTGACACGTTTCTCCTAAGATTTCAACGAACTGCCCGAGGTTAACACGTTCAAAATAGCGAAAGGCAGCGACATGATGGTAGTCTATGAGAAATTTGCTGGGGAACAAACGATACACCGTAAAAAGTGTTTTGCATCGCCTTTCAGAAATGTGATTGCCATTTGAAAAGCTTGAAAGCTCGTGCGTAGCAAAATCAGCATACGTAATAACACTACTGCACAGATTTTAGACCTTTTTGGGGACAATTTTTTTGGATGTCTTATTTTGCAGTCGGTCTATAAGCTGGAGTTTCCTACTGTGATAACACACAATAAGAAAAACATGGGTGATTCGCTTTCTGCTTATTTATAAGCTGAAGCCATCCCTACTGGATGTTACCCAGAAATTGGCAAAAGACTGAGAGGTATTAGCGATCAAACGGTGTGTAGATATTTTTAAACATCCCGTATGCGCTATGCATATCGATTTTTCGAATACTCGGTGCTTATCGAATTTTCGAATAGTCAATTCTCATCGAATTTCCGAATATTCGGTGCTCGACGAATATTCGAATATGACGGACATCGAATGATCGAATGAATGACCTTCGAATATTCGACTATCGAATAATATTCGAAATTTAAGATTTTCGAATATTCGACTTTCGAATAATATTCGAAAATGAAGATTTTCGAATATTCGACTATCGAATATATTCGAAAACTGAAAATTACGAATATTCGACTTTCGAATTTTATTCGAAATTTCAGATTTTCGAATATTCGACTTTTCGAATCATTCGCATTCGAATGATTTATTCGAATGATCGAATAATTATTCGATTCGGTCCCAAGTATAGTGTACTTTCAGCCCTTAGCGTACAAAGAGACCTTATTTCGCACCTGTGGGCTACATCTGTAATCAGCATATCAGTTAAGCTTCATACCCAAAGTTCTGAGTGAATTTGAAGTGTTTGAATATTGTCGCTTGAGAGGGACTTTTGCGCTTTGTTGAAAGATAGGAATTAGAACTCAGTAAATAGTATTCAAAAGTATCTGTGTTGTACACGAAACACATCATTATTAAAAGTACGGTTATTCTCTCTGAAATCAAGCAAAGAAAAGTTGCGACGTCGCACGCGTCATTCGCGTTGCCGCACTTCGTTGCAACTGTTCGATTTGTCCTCATATCTCCTAAACAAACATGCTGGCACAGCTCTACAAAGTCATTTGAAAAATAGGAGCTTAGACCTTTGAACAACTTTTGACCAAAAGAAAACCTATAAATGCCAGAAAGATACTTCATAGCGGCTCCGAAACGTGTTAAAAAGTAAATTACTTCGGCTTAAAGAAAACCTCCTGCAAAATTCAGAAAGAACCTTCAAAGCAGCGTGCTGCACCATGTGCAGCACCGGTCCGAAACGTGTTAAGCAACTCCATAGCAGCCCACATCCTATACGCAAAATCAACTTGGTTTGTAGAGTATCAAACTACAGCTGTAGTAGTGTGGAAATAGACACGAAACCAAAAAAAAAAACACGAAGAATCAGATGAGGGAAAAAATGTACCACCTTCGTCTGGACGAAACATCACGATCGCGCCAAGAATCAGAAGGACTGAAATCAGTAAGATTATGCCGACTTACTGCTATAAAGCTATCACGTGGACAAATTTATATATGGAACTCACTTGCTCCAACTATTGTGAGCATAATAGAGCCTAATATGACCTTAATGTTCGATCGGATATGTGGATCGTTGCACAGTCCTCTAAAACGGATCAGGTACATGCTGGCGCAGAACTGTGAAAAATGACAAGGCCATCCAACTAACATTTTCAACAGCAAATCAATCCTACAAAGAAAACGGGAGAAAATGAAAATCGAGTAGTACGATTTCGCGCAAAGACAATTATGCAATCTAGTTGTTTTCGAACACAGCTATGTCCAAGCACTGTATCATCATTCTCTGACTAGGAGACGCGGGCACGCTTTGCGTACGTCTGATTAGCAAGTTTATATGAGCGCGTTTGACTCTTTTTAATTGATTTCTATTATGAATCCGTGGAAGAACATGTTCGACATTGTTAAATAACCCGAATCTGAACATTTTCACTCATGAATTCCTAACAGAGTTGACCAACAAGTCATGCACAAGTCTTTCGAGACCCCCCCCCCCCCATGAAAGCCCTCAAACGATCCCTTATTCTTCATCTTGAAGTCCTGAGCCGCAGATTGTGAACTCTGGAGGAATCATCCTTTTCTAGAGAGTTTTCAGACTTTTGGGAGCTATACGCCCGAATTTCTATGACTGCACTTTACAATCACACGTAATTTGACGGCTGATTTTGACCTGAATGGCTTATCGAAAGGGTCATAAATTTTCTAAAGGTTGGGCGTTCGGTTCCAAATTTCCAATGTAGCAAGAAAAAGCTAAATGGAGCAATTTCTGGATTTTTAAGGCAAATTAAGGAAGTCAGGCGCAAACCCTTAAAAGCACAGGCAGTATGACCAGTTAATCGGGTCAGGGGTTGCGTGTGACCCGATTAACTTTATCACCGAAGAAGCTTTTCTACCTTAGTTTTATATGATTCGCTAGCATAAACCTTGAAGATTCGGCGATAGTTGCTTAAGCTTTCCTCGAATTGTTTTGGCTTTGTGGCGGTCGGTGAAGTTGAAGCACTCGAAGTAAAAAACGCGTTAACTAACATCTTGGCAGCAGTTCTCAATACAGAAGGCGATATGAAGTCTCCAATTTCTGCTATAGATTGGTAAAGAGAATACTTCGTTATGCGTCACTTTTATGGCCAAGTTAACCGTATTTGAAAATCATGCTTTTTAGACGTTAGGAACCACTAGAAAATGAAACAGGTAATGGTTTGAGGAGCTCGTTGAGGCAATTTGGCATGCTGATTACGGAAATTATACATAGTTCACACAAAAAGCTTCTTTGGTGACCTTGCGGTATGTGTAAGGCAAGACGAAGCGATATTTGGCTGAGACTTCGTTGGCCGAATTAATTAGCAAGCTGTTCACGACAGCCATTCCTCTGGTGGAGTTGGAGTTTCACGGTTCAGCGCTTTTCTTCTTCGCCTTACTCGATCGTATACTTTCTCAATTTTTTGAACAGATTCGCTTCTCAATCACGACCCCTCCCTTGCCCTTACCGCCAATGCGATCCTCAGGTTGGGCGCCTAACCCCACGCTCAACCCTGATTCCTAATCAGTAGTACGAAAACGCGTTGAAGTTTAGACGATTATGACGTTTATCAGATGTATGCGAAGCGTTCTCGTGTCTCTTGGTCAGAGAATGAATGAAATATAAAATGAAAGATAAACTGCATATTCAAATGTACTCCATGCGCAAGCGAGACTGACGGCGCAGTTGCACTATGTAATTCGAAATTTGATAAATTCTGTAGTGATCAAAAAGGCATAGTTCCGCTCCAAATATATCCTCCAACGGTTTTCATATGTGCCAATGGCAACCAATAGCGTGACATAGTCAAAAGATTGATGTCGCTGTTGCATTTCTTTACGCCAACAAATAACATCTTTACGGATTTTTATTGCAGACAACTTATAGACGGGCGTCATTACTGCTCTGCGACACAAACATAGTCCCAATCCCCCTCAAATGTCTTAAAAAATTGAATTAATAATATAATCCCTAACAAAAAATAAATTTCAATGGAAATAATCACTGAACTAAACCACAAACTTGGGCTTATTATGCTGAGGGCGGTACTGTGTTGCTGGATCCACACGCGTTGGACTTCCACCAGAACAAACCCCAGCATGTCCGCGCTCAGCATCCTCATCGTCCCCGGAATCATTGAGATCAACGATCAACTAAAAAATGAATTATACATAGAGTTTCTAAAGCATTATGAACGATGACGCCACGATTACACCTCAGCAATCGAATAAAAAAGAGAGTACGCAAGCCAACCAACCCAAAAGCGCTGGCCCAACCGTAGACTAGAACCAGCGGCATACGCGCGCCACAGATGTTGGAGGTGGAAAGTGTAAGCGATATTGCGGCATGTGTGTTAATCCAAGCTAACATATTTTCCAGGCGATAGGCCAACATGACTTCTCATCTCTTTATCAACTGTCAAATTTTTCTGCCTTCAAATGTTAAATCATGTGTGATTTGAGGCATTGTAACATCTTGTGTGAGCAGTGTCCGTAGTCCTTTGAGATCTGGCAAAGTCCTACATCAAATCAAGGGCATAATTAAATTCTGCTTATGATCCTGCCTATATGTCGGTTGCGCTTCCCGACCCACGATTAGGCAAAGCCCTACGAAGCATTTCTAAGTTTGCAATGTACTTTATAATTAGCTCACGCAACCCGCACCATTTCGCAGCTTTTGATCCACGTTCCTAGAGAATAGTCATGCTTGGGGAAAAGAAACTTGTTTGTTTAGGCTGCGTTCATACCGATAGGGAAGTTCGGGAACAGTTCCAGGACAGCGCTGCAACTGAGCGCTGTGCTGGGACTGTTCCCGAACCTCCGGATCAGTATGAAAGCAGCCTTATATTAAAGCTCATCTGTAGAGACTGCCCATAAAAACTACCAGTAAAGCCGAAAATGAAAGAATCTATTATATGACCAAACTAAACTCACATGCTGCCCCTGTGATACGTTGCGTTGGTGACCTGCTTTTGAAGGCATTCTGGAAAATAAAACTGATCAGAATGTTCCCAACGCTTCCGTCTTTATCTTCCTAGGCTAAAAATAAAGAAAAAGGGACAAAAGAAAAAGAAAAAGGTACATCGTACCTTAAGGAAGGCGTTGAGCAAACAAAAAATGCCTTTTAAACCAACGTCGACTGTAGTTCGAAATTCCAAAGTAAGCTCTTGGGCAAAGCATGGACGCAGCGACTCATCGGTTAAACAAGGCCGCGCCGCGCACGCAGCACGGAACTTGCCATCTTCTCGGAGCACACTTTGTGTTGCTGTACTCTGAGACAATCGCGCCGAGCGCGCGACGAGGCTACGGTTAGGAGTTACACCGCGCGCGATGGCCGCGCCCAAATTTTGTGCCTCACGATAACCTTCTAGTGCTTACGGCGCCGCAGAAGGCGTACGGTAACCACACTGCAATCGGCTGGATTCGCCAGAGCGCGTCGTGATTAGAGCGGGTTTTCTCACTTGACTTCAGTTTGCTGTTTCAGGGATAGGATCCGGACCAAACCTTCCTCACATACACTTCGGAGCAGGGCGGGTGTGTTACTACTTGTTGTTATCGATAGATAATGATTATACTGTTTTTTTTGCAAAGCATGAGCTGCGGGGCTGGAAGTTGGTACGAAGAGGTAAGCGAGAATTCTTATATATAAAGCTGAATGGGCGCTATTCGGCTATCAAGGCCCCAAATTTTTTTTGTCGTAGATCTTGCTCAAACTTCGTGTACAGGGGTTATCTACATGCTGACAGATATCACACTTTCTCCCTAGAACGTCTTCCCGTGGTTACGGTAGGTGTACAGTAGGAAGTCAAAATCATGAACTCGGCTGGAGTTCGATCCAGAGAACTTACTCGACATGCTGATTACGATTTTCATACTCTCTCTCTCTCTCTCTCTCTCTCTCTCTCTCTCTCTCTCTCTGTATACTGGGACCTTTTCATAGATATGGTGGTTATACGGTATGGGGTCGAAAACATAGATTTCCTTTAAACTTCGTTTAGGGTGGTCATTTAGCGCGCTGAACATGAATATCATGCTGATTACGCAGGATAGTGCATTTTCTTGGGTTACGGTGGGTTTAAGTGGGTCGAAGTTCCAGCTTTGCTCAAAACCTTACCTGTAACGGTATACAAGTATACTGCTTAAGAATATGATGCTTGCTCGCTGTCATAACGCATTAGTGAAATTTTGGTGAGTTGCGGGGTTTGAATGGACATTTCTTCGCTTTCGGGCCAATTTAGATCCCAGATATCCACGAAATGGGGAAACGGTCGTTTTGCATGGTGCGGTCTCCAGCGCCATCCTGATAATCTGTCCTAACGTGTAACGCACGCGGACCTCCCTCTCCCTGTTTTTGCTTAGGCAAAAGCCGCCGAAGGTATCGCGCGCAGCAGTGGTTTTATAAGGGCCGGGCATACTTTAGGCGATTTCAGTCGCGACGCGATTTGGCAATATTCCAACTGTCCATAACTCATTGTAAGCACATCTCAAGTGTAAAGGAGATAGGGCATTTTATTAACTCACGTAAGCTATACACACTATGCACGTGCAGTTTGCTAGCGTTGGATCTAAAGACTTCTAACGAATTGCCAAATCGCCTCGCGACTGAAATCGCATGAAGTATGCCCGGCCCTATAAGGAAAGCATTATGGTCGTGAAAAACTTTTATACCACACGAATTGCCATTATCATCGGGATTAAGCACGATATTCTTGAAACAGCACTTCAGGTAATTCCCTGCCAAGGTTTCAGGCATGTTCATGATTTTTACCCTCTGCCACGCGAAATGACTACCATATTCGTCATCAGCAGCTTGAATAACCTCTATATACCGAGTTTGAGTAAGACGCTTCATAAAAACATTTTAAGGTCCAAACAGCCGAATAACGCCATCAGTTTTTAGGATTATCCTTACTTTTATCGATTTTATTGTGTTTTTTTTGCAAAGTTCGAGCTACGGGGCTGGGGGTTGATGAGGAAGGTAGGTGAGCATACTGATTACTCACACAGCGGGAATAGGGAATTGCATGTAGAAGTGGGCACAGGTAAAGGTATACAGGGATAGAAATGGAACCCTTATCGTTTTTGGGAGGGCCGGGCGGAGCCTTGTAAGCCAGCTAGTGCTGATTGTAATACATTGTTAGTTCCTAAGTGTCCATTCAATCGGTTTTACTGATTTTTTTTCAAGTTTTGGGCTACAGGACTGGGAGTTGGTAAGATGGGTGAGTAAATGCGCTGATCACGGAAACATGATGGGGAAGGGAGTTTAAAATACGGTGATCCGATGCTTTACTTGACCTTCGGATCGAAGGTAACGAAAAAACTTCGATGGATAGTTGAAGTACAAAAAATACTCGACACAAAAAGGGAGTCTGTATTGCAAACATTACTGCACTGTGATACGCTTACAGTGAACAAGCTAGTGTACTTGAAATCAACTGCCGAAACGTGACAAGATGTGCAAAAACCAAAAGTGCGAGTATAAGAACTGAGATTTCAATACCGTGACGGCATACTGTCTCCATCTACCTTGTAACCTAAATTTTGACCAAATATTGAGAAATTACTGTCTTGCTAATCACAACGACCACTTCTTATGTATCACTTCTGCATAATTGTTCTTTTGTTTAGCTTCTTCACCTTCGCTTAGTTGTTACAAACTATGGAAAAGATGTTTGATTATGTTACACGGTCCACGTGCACTTGATTCAACATCATTACAACCCTCTCCCATAGCTCTAGTCAGAATATGCATTCTAGCCTTGAGATGATAAGAGAACCTGCCGCTGCGGTTATCGCAGAAGCAAGTATATGTACGCAATCGGAAAGGATTTTGATAAGTGATGTGAAGAAGCAAAGGTCAGAAAGGAAACAATGTCTCTTTGAATCTCTCTTATCATTAAATGCTATCCTTTTCAATGCAAGAGATCCGAAAAATATTTAAAAAATCAAAGTCTAGTGCTAATACCTCGCTCCGCTCGACGGTCGCGCTCCACCGCGAATCCAGCCATTTGAGGGCAGTGTGGTTAGGCTGCGTTCATGCTGATCCGAAGTTCGGAAACAGTTCCACCATAGCGTTCGAACTGAGCATCGGTCTGGAACTGTTCCCGAACTTCGGAATCAGTATGAACGCAGCTTTAGGGATCGTCCAGACCGCGCCACCCGTTCAAACCCGCCAATACGTCCGAATCCGCCTAAATACCCTCGATATCATCCCATATGTCTTCCCTCAACATGACGTGGATTACGTGGCTTGATGAGGCGCCGCCTCACCTCGGGCTTGCGCCACGTTGCGTGCGCATTTTCGGCGTGATGTGGCAACAAGAAGAACGTGGAAAAGCCTGCGCCACGTTGTGTTGAGCGCCACGTCGCGCCAAATGATGCGCTCGCAACGTGGCGCGAGCCCAAGGCGAGGCGGCGCCTCATCAAGCCACATAATCCACGTCATGTTGAGGGAAGACATATGGGATGATATCGAGGGTACGTCCAAACGCCCAAACCCGCCCAAATACGTGCGAATCCGCCTGAACTGCCAAAGCGCAGCAGGTTGCATGCAAATTCGCCTTGAAGCACGCGTGCGATTGATCCTTCTAATATCGGAGTAGTAGTAAAATAAGATCGGTATGTAATGTCTAGCTATACGTGTGACCAACAGGAAAGGATACTTGGTGAATGAGGCATTTTAGAATGAAAAGTACACCATTAAATGCATATTGAAGCGCTGATTCCAAATCTGTCTTGATTATCTGCTGTGCGCTCCTCCGAAAGAAGTTATGAACATTTTTTGTCACCAAAATTTACACTGTTTTTGATGCAGGATCCACCAATATCGTTAGAATGTTCGCTTAGGCACTACAAAAGAGCGTACAAATCAAGTAAAGCTTCACGTTGAGCTCAAGGAAATGTCGCCGATACATTAGAGTCTAAAAAGCCTAGATACTGACGATTTGGACTGCTCAAATCTCACAAAAACAATATGGAAAAAAGTTCATAACTTCGTTCAGGAAGTCGCACAGCAGACACTGAACATGGATTTGGAATCAGCGTTCCAAGACGCACCTATTAGTTTGCATCTCATTGCAAAAGACCACGGTCACCAGGTATCCTTTCCTCGTAAGATATATGCATATATACGCGCGCAGTATTCCACGCTTCAAATGCCAATTTGCCGCATATCCCCTGCGCTTTGGCAATTCCGGCGTCCAGGCGGGTTCGGGCGGATTCGGACGTATTGTGGCGGATTTGAGCGGTTTTGGACGTATTCGGGCGGGTTTGGACGGATTCTGGCGCGGTCTGAACGATTCCTTATCGTACGTCGCCGCAGTAGGGGAGTGAGGGAAGGGGGGGGGGCAGTCACATGACTCGATGCCATAAGTAGCACTGCGGCAGGAGTACTGACGGGAGCCAAGGCATGTATTGCTCGACGTCGCCTTGCGGCGTCGCGCCGCGAAATTTTTGACTCCTGACCAGGGTCAAGCAAGGGGTGTGGCACACGATCGCTGGTTACGACCCCCCCCCCCTGATTGCTGTCTTAATAAGACCCCCCCCTCTGAACTATATACCTAAGATAGCATTACCAGAGTTGAGAAAGAGGTCAGGCACAAGTCTTTCGAGAACAACCCCTCCCCCCTCCTATGAAAGCCCTCAAACGACCCCTTCTTCCTCCTCTTAACCTTTGGACCTCAAAGTGTGACATTCTGGAGGACACCAGCTTTTTCTAGAGAGTTTTCAGATTTCTGAGAGCTGTACGCCCAATTTTCTGTGACTGCACTTTACAATCACACGTAATTTGACGGCTGATTTTGATCTGAATGGGCATATTGAAAGGGCCATAATTTTCTTATAGGGGGCGTTCGGCTGCAAATTTCCAGTGTAGCAAGAAGAAGCCATGTGCTCAATACTCATACCAGCAATGGAGCGCTTTCTGGATTTTGAAGGCAAGTAAAGGGGGTGCGGCACACCCCCTTAAAAGCTGCGGCAGCCGCAGCTTTTAAGGGGGTGTGCCGCACCCCATTAACTATATCAAAAAAACATTTTTAGCGGACATTGTTTATATGAATCGATAGCCTAAACCTTGTAGATTCCATAGGACTGTTTGGAGCCTGATTCGTCTTCTTGGCTCTGAGTAATATTTGGTGAAAGCACAGCGATCAAATTCGAAAAATGGGAAAAAGGAGATTTTGGTTGGCTTCTAATTCCACAGTTTGCAGGTCTTCTGAAGCGGGATTCCTGAGGTGGACAAAGAAGGAGTAGTGCTTTGTCTTCAGTGCAAAAACGGATAGCTAATTTACCTTTGAAACAATGTTAACCATGTTGGAATTTGACCATTTCATTTAGGTAACCTAGTATCTTGAATCTTCAAAATTCGCTCACACTTTGTCTACAGGGGTTAATTGACATGCTAATTATGGGTATGATACAAATATCATGTTATCATTATTATCAGATTACCCAACTACGACCCCCTCTCCTTTTGACTCCTCAATACGACCCCCCACTCAGATAATCGCCGGGGGCAGGCGGTCCGCAAACTCGCGCTTTTCTGCAGGCGGTCAGCAGAATTTTGGGGCGTGGCCAAACCTTCAGCGGGCGGCACTTCCTTTACGGTCGCATATTCTGCCAGAGGGCAGCAATACAGCATTTTTTGCAAGCGCTCGGCAAATAATTTTTTTCAGCGAGCGCTGGCCAAACTTTCAGCAAGCGCTCGGACTCTTTTAAGGCATTTTCGGGCGTACGTCGAGCGCAGGTACTCAGATAATCGCCGGGGGCAAGCGGCCATGCGAATTTTGAGCAAGCGGGCACCGGAAAAATAGTTCGCTGATTTTTTGTGGTCCGCTTGCAGAAATTTGGGATAATTTTGGCCAATTTTTAGACGAACGCTCGAAGACCTATCGCGGTTTTTCTATACATAAGTTGCGGCACAGTGGCCGCATTCTCGCGGATTTTCCGCGAGAACATGCAAAATTATTGAGAGCCGCACGGTCCTTTTTGAGGGACCGCACAGCCCTCAGGTACTTTCCGCTGAAAGAAAGTACCCCAAACTTGGGTAATAAGACCATTGATGGCACCTCTGCCACATAGAGTCTCATCTTTTCTCGGCGTACGCCCGAAACTGCGTAAAAAGAGTCTGAGCGCCTGCTGAAAGTTAGGCCAGCGCTCGCTGAAAGAGATTGTTTGACGAACGCTTGCAGAAAATTTTGTATTGATGCCCGCTTGCAGAAAACGCAAATACCGCCCGCTGAAGATTTGGCCACGCCCCGAAATCCTGCTGACCGCCTGCAGAAAAGCGCGAGTTTGCGGACCGCCTGCCCCCGGCGATTATCTGAGTAAGACTCTGTGTGGCAGAGGTGTCACCGTTGGTTTAATTACTCAAGTTTGAGGTACTTTCTCTCAGCGGAAAGTACCTGGGGGTTGCGCGGTCCTCCACAAAGGACCGTGCGGCCCTCGAAATTTTTGCATATTTTCGCGGAAAGTCCGCGAGAATGCGGCCACTGCGCCGCAGCTAATCCATAAAGAAACCGCGATTGTTCTTCAAGCATTCGTCTTTGATTTCGCCAACTTTCTTCCAAATTTCTGCAAGCGGGCCACAAAAAATCAACGAACTATTTTTCCGGTGCGCGCTTGCTCAAAATTCGCATGGCCGCCTGCCCCCGGCGGTTATCTGAGCAGGTGTGGCGTGCCGCACCCCACGCTTGACCCTGCTCCTGACCCGTATCGTGCGACGATGGCCTTTCGGCAGGCGGCCAGGCCATTATTTGGGCATAGCCTGATGCCGGTTGGCCCGAACGAGGAAACCTACCGCCTGGAAGTCGTGCTCTGTAAATACGGGAAAGATTCAAACCCCTATATTCATATAGGACGCACCTTTCGATTTGTTAAAGGCAGGGGAGAAACTCGATTTTGAGATTTTGCGCTTATCCGGGACTATTCGCTATGCTGAATCCGAAAATGCACACTGTAGAGCTCAAAAACGGCGAAAAACGACTTTAGTACAGGAGGGAAATCAGCAATCCCCACTGTGAATTCACTCTTCCAGCTTCCGAAGCGATCTTCTTGCTTTCGGTTACAAGTCAATCGTTCGCACTTGGCCGGTGGCGATGTCAGGACGGCTAGCGGAATCGAGAAGACCGCTCGGGAAGCTGGGAGCGTAAATTTACTGGGGAGGACCCCGCCCACTTGCTAAATCCCTTCCTGTAATAAAGCCGTTTTTCGCCGTTTTTGCGCTCTCCGGTGTGCATTTTCGGATTCAGCATGACAAATAGGCCTGAATAAGCACAAAACCCCAAAATCGAGTTTATGCCCGGACACTGCCTTTATGCGAGCCGCTCGGCCGCCTTCCCAAGCAATATGCAGCACTGTATATACATATATATATACCCTCGATATCAACTCATATGTCTTCTCTTAACATGGACTACATGGAATGGTGAGGCGCCCCATCGCTACGGGCTTCTGTCACGTTGCATTGCATCTTTGGTGTGGTGTGGCAACAAGAACGTGGGAAAGCTTGCGCCATGTTGTTTCA